ATTGTTGCCATCAAACCGAACAACAGGCTGGTCAAACTTCAAAGAATCCATGATCGCACAACAACAGAAGAAACCTTAGAAACGTGCGACAAGAAGACCAACCAGCGGCCAAGAAAAACCCGGACGAACGAAATGAAGCAAAAATAGCAACCAAGAAGAACCCGGACGAACGAAGCAAAACAGTTGGCCAGCAATTAAAGAAGAGCCCGTAGAACACACTAGTATGAGAAGAATCAAACGTTCCGAGGCTCTGATACCATGTCAAAGCGGGCAACGAAAAATAAAGAACGTAACACAACACTCGAGTTTTTTTAACGTGGTATCGTCAGGATGACACTAGTCCACGGAGAGGATCTCCCTCTCAGGTTTTAATATTTTGTTTTCTTAACTTGGAGCACTAAACGAGTACAATATTTATAGCCAACTTATCCTTACTACACACGGCTAGCTACTAGTCCACATTACACACGATATACACAAAGGCCCTCAATTAACAGTAGGGGCCAAGTAAATTCACACAATCACTTTGCAGGCGAGATGTCTTTGTTTGGCCAACAATAGAGTGGCTTGTATGAATGGAATTATGTTTTGTTATTTGATTTGGTTCAACAATTTGGTTCATAATTCCTACAAAACAAATTGTGGGGCATTTGTTGACACTTTAAAATTATTTTGGGTTAATTAAATATCGCATTAATTAGTCTCGGCATTTAATTCGATACCGCATGGCAAAAAATGGTGTCGTTTGAAGTCAAGCAATATCGCAGAGAGTTTAGACGACACCGCGAAGAGGCTCGACGGTACCACGATAATGGAAACGATCGGTAAAAACAATGTCGCGAGCCTAGGCTATGAATTGATTTGGCTTCGGGAGGTTGCTGTAGGGGTTGGAAAAGGAGTGCTTTTTTTTAGTCCTTGTCGGAAGAGGAGAGAAACCACACCGTTTAGTGATAAAGCAATGTCACGGAGGGATTTCACGATGTCGCGTGGTAAACGACATCGTCAACTCAAAATCCCAACAATGCCGCGATACTGGCAAACAAAGTCGTTTAGACAGTCTGGGTTTCGGAACCAAGAGCTGATATGATCTCAAAATTGGGAGGAATTTTACAATACTATATAGTATTGGTGCTATAGGTTTTTACCTTTATGGTACAACTTGAAATTGTACATTTAATGTTATAGTACAGTTTTATATTATACCTACACTGTTTTGTACATATTCTTTATGGTACAACTTGAACTTGTACCTTTATGTGATGGTACAACTTCAACTTGTAAAGTGGTACCATAACATAAGGGTACAAATTCCTTTATGGTGCAACTTGAACTTATACATTTAATGTTATGGTACAACTTCAAGTTGTACATTAAAGCACCAATACTTTATAGCATAGTAAAAGGGCTCCTCAAATTGGTCCTTAATCAAGCTGGAATTGATTGATCAAGAAGATGGTGTCACCCTCTACACGTTGACATGCTTTGGAGATCAATTGGAAACCCAGAAGGTTGTTTTACAGCCTGTGCAAAAGTGGAAGTTGAAACTGGAAAACTGGCTGAAAAAGACTAAGGCATGGAGACAGTTCGAGGAGGGGACTTTGGAGCTCGATTTTTGGAGATTGAGGAAGAGTCAATTGTCCAGATTCATACCTCATGAAAGTAGGTTTCTTCTGCTACAACAACATGGCATTGGATGACTGGAATGAAGACTAGAAGGCCTCGAACGAAAGCTCCAAAGATCGTATCGAAGCTGAGTTTCTGTCTTTAGAAACCAGGCAATCCGAATCCTTCTCGGATTAGGATTCCTTCGTTGTTTTGTGTTTAATTCCTTTTCATTGTTGGTTTTTCCAATTGTAATTTGTTTAGGACTCCCCTAAGAGTAGTAGGATTGGCTAGGTCTATTTATTTCAGATTTTAGAGTTGAATTGAATAAACCGCAAGGATGAGTTCCATAGCGATTGCTTTGTGAATTTGGAGATCTTCCTAGCTGATTCTAGGTGAGATTTCGAGCTTGTATCGTTCAATTAATCCCACTGTTCGTAGCCAAGAATCTACCCTAAGTTTTTGAGTCTCTCTTCCCTTCGAGAAGGTTGCACGAGATCACCATCCCAAATACAAACTCAAACTCTGTTTTGTGTTCTTCATTACACAGTTTTTATTCAATATGTGGATTGAATCTAGTTGTGCTTCTCTTATTCAATACCACCCATCTAGGGGGTTATTAAGAGCGGCATGGTTTAATTCAAAGACGACTTCGTGTTGGCCGAGTTCTCGAGAAAGGCCAACTCAATTAATTAATATTTTTAATGATTATTTTGGACGATGTAGTTTAGTTGAAAACGATGCCATAAGAAGTATCGACAACACTCAACCCTCTTTCGGCGAGCAAGCAGCTAGGTGTTCTGCGGATTAGAAAACTCCTGTGTTTAATATAAAACAATGTCGCAGAAGAAAAAGAAAACGAAGCTGTTTGGGAAAGAAAACGACACCGCGAATAAGCTCAACAACGTCGAGGTGTTCGAAACGACAATGTTTAGTAGAAAACAAGGTCGTGAGCGGCTTTGCAATGTTAGTGTTGGAGTTAGGAAAGGAGTGATCTTTATTCCTTACCGAAGAAGGGGATGATTAGATCGTATCACCTCGAAAATATTGCAAGGGAGAGAAATATTGAATCTTGGCCAATAACAATGTTGCAGGGTTACGTGACAACGCTGTTGTGGAATTAGAAACAGTGTTGCCTATAAAATATAACAACTCCGCGAGAAGTCAATCCTCAATGGTACCTCTGTACTAAGAAACGACAGTGTTTTGTGAAATTGCACATAAACGATGTCGCGGTAGTAGAAAACGACGTTGTTTCGTGGAGTACAATGTTTTGAGATAACCCAACAGTGTCTCAAAGAACCTACAACGCAACAATAATAAAGGTCGACGTTGTTCAACCAAAAACAATGTTGTATAAAGTTGAGATCCAAATACTTGAATCGACGTTGTTTCATAAGACAACAGAGCGGGGCTGAAAGCTCAACGACGCCGTGAAGCACAACGTTGTTGCGAGTTCAACAAGGTCGTGGCACAATCTCACAAAACAACATTGTTTTAAGCTACAAACAAGTTTGTTGATCCAACTACGCAGTAGTGTTATGGAGAACAACGTTGTGAGACAAGCCTAACATCACAAAGATCCAACGACACCGCGAGCATAGAAAGCGACGTTGTTTAGCTTAAAACAACGTCGCGGTGAAGAGAGTTTAGTAATGGTGTATGTTGGCGATGCTGCAGACTCGACGAGCTTGAGATTTTGTGAAAAGGAGCAACATTGTTTAGGCAAGAAAATTTTCGGTGTTTATTTTGTGGACAAGGTTGGTTTGGAGTATCAAACCGTGGTGGGGAGGTATATGATTTAGCTCAGTATCGTTTTGCTTTTGCCAAGATTCCAAATAGCTGAGAGGTTTCGCGGGCACGTGAATATCACGCAACAAGGTGGAAGTTTACCTGCATAGTTGAGAATTGGAGAACATGGGAGACAAAGACGCGAATGCGGTTACTGCGACTACGGAGAGAATATTGGGGTATAAACACCAGGATGAGAGAGAAGCTGGTGACGGAAAAATCAAATCACAAACTGCACCGTCGTAGACTTATCTTTTCTCTCTCTAGTTTCGTAGGAACACTCTGTCAAAGATCTCCTTTGCAGAGTCATAGTAGATCGTAATTGTACTCGTAGTCGCGGAGCTCTCCAGAGGAACGTTCATATGAGTAGAGGTAACATAACTTAGAAATCCTCTTTGTTTCCTCGTTGTTTTTCGAACACCCTCGTTCGAACATTGTTTGAAGAGGTGTGAACCAAGTAACGATCGTTCTTGGTTAGAAGTCAAAACTGCATCGATTAAAGCAACATCGCCTACGCCCGACGGTGGATATTTGAAGGTCGTTCTTTGATCTTGTGTTCTTGTTTTCCTTGATCACAGAGCGCATTAAACACGCGTGTTTCGCCTTCGAAACAGGTTGTATGAAATTGAAGTCTATAGAATTAGTGACAATTTATTGTTTCATACAACCGCATACTAAAGCACGACTTCAACCACAATAATCTATCAAATACACCTAATTATCATAATTTTATACGATTTCCTTACAAACAATGAACGAAAACCATCTAACAACGTACTCAACATTAGGGGCAAAAATCGCTATGGTATCGGTATCCCAATACCAAATACCAAAATCGTGAATACCGAATTACACCCTAAAATCAATCCCAATCCCAATCACTAAATAATTTCGGTATCCCAATACTAATCCCTAAAAATTTCGGTATCCCAATCGGTATTATCGAATAAGAAATTAATTACCTTTGTAATTAATAATTAAATATATAAATTAGATTTGATTGTTTAATTTATGGCACAGAGACTAAGCAAAGAGTCTTGAGTTTGCCTAGAGCTAGGATATGGATAAGGAGAACGGAGGAGAGGTGACATCTCAAATTCTTGTCATTGATAATATTTAATTTGACGAATTGGAGGCTGAGAGACGGCTAACACACTAGTGTTTGCTTTTTGATGTTACGAAAATAACAATAGATTAGGTGAGAAAAGAGAGTGACTTAAACTGGAAAGTCAAAACTGAGTTGGATGGGAGCTTCTAAAGTGTGAAAGAGTGAGGAATGATCAAATGTTGTGTGCTATATTTAATTTTTTTTTTTATAATGGTGATATAATTTTATCAATGACAATTAAAGTACAAAGGAAAAGACAAACACAAAGGCTTCAGCAGCATGGGGGAAGAGTCCCTGCAGCAGCAAAGCCCAGAAAAAAACTCGAAAAGCATGAACTGCCGCCCCAAAACAGCACGGGACTGGGGTGGAGGAGTTTGCTCTTTATTTCATTAAGCCAAAGCTCAACAACTTGATTATCAACCTTCTTTGCAGCAGTAAGCCACCAACAATGGCGAACCTGATCCTGTATACAATCAAGCTGGGCATCACTTCCTCCTCCTTGAAAATTCTTGCATCCCTTTCCAGCCAAATTACCCAACAAAAAGCGTGCAAGACCACTTTGAGGCACCATTGGGAAGGATGATTCGGATGCCCACAGTACCAAAGCTTGATTCTGCTGGAGATGTCATCAGATGCGCTTCCAGCACCGTCCATCTTGACAAACTGATTTAGAATGCTCCAAACCGTCCTAGAGAAATTACAAAGGATGAAGTTGTGGTTGATCGACTCTTCTTCTTTTTTGCACAAAACATACCTGCTTGGGAGGCTCACACCCTTCCTCTTCAACTTGTCCAGGATAAGAATCCTCTTATGAAAGACTGTCCACAGAAAAATACAGACTTTGCTGGGGATGAGATGCTGCCAAATCACCTTCGCTGGGAAGTTGTCGATGCCTGAAAAGCTGGCGGTTGCCAATTGAACGTAGGTCGAGTGGACACTGAAGCCTGCCGTCAGGGCGCTGGGAGCCACACCGGTCTTTCTGGAACTGTAAGGAAATCTGACGAAGGAAGGTTATTAAGTAACTCAAGAAGTCTCACTCTTTCTCTCTCAGCCCCATCCCGAAGAAAGAATTTGAGAGGAATTTCCCATTGAATCAAATCACTCAACAAAATCAAGTAATCGGAAACTTTGGAGCTCGGTGATTCGGCGGCGGCCAAAACTCTTGGGAATCCATCCGTGAGGCCCATCCCGTTGATCCAAAGTCATACCAGAAGGAGGTCCAATGAACCAACCCTTGCTCAATGGTTGTCATTTTCCAAAACGAGTCCTTAAGCTTCATGATCTGTTGCCACAAGCTGAAACTCTGCCTTCCACGCGATTCCCCTGAAAACCACTCCGAAAGGGGGTTGTGGTACTTGATGTTTATGATTTCCCTCCACCACATATCTCTTTCAAATATAAACCTTCTTTGCCATTTAAACAGAGGAGCTTGGTTGTGAAGGTCCAAGTCATGGATTCCAAGCACACCCCTGTCCTTTGAAGTCTTGCAAAGATCCCATGAGACCAAATGAAATTTGTCTTTATCTTGCGATCCTGACCAAAGAAACTCCCTCTGCAATTTCTCGAGTCTCTTTAGCACACTCTTGGGAGCTCGGAGCTAAGAGCACAGGCAGGTGCATTGGCTTGCTAACACCGCATTAATAAGGACAACCCTGCCCCCAATTGACAGTAACCTTCCTTTCCAACTTTCCAGTTTCGTTGAGTTTTGGTGATGATCTTGTTCCAATGGCTTGAAGAAGCAGAGCGAACGCCCAGAGGCATTCCCAAATAGATCGAGGGAAGGAAACTCCAATCACATCCAAAAACTTCAGCAAGTCTATCCATGTTACTAACCTCTCCGACTGGGAACATTTTGGATTTATCAAGATTGAATCTTAGTCCAGTGATGCCTTGAAAGCAGACTAGGGCAGCCAAAACACTTCGGACTTGAATTTCATTTGCATCACAAAAAATGATTGCATCGTCGGCATATAATAAATGGGTGACTTCACCCGACCTTCCCGTCTCGTCTGCAAAAAACCCAGTAATGTATCCAGCCCTTTTAATCTCACAAAGGATGAAAGAAAGAACATCCATCCCAGCATTGAACAAGAATGGCGACAATGGGTCTCCTTGCTTGAGACCTTTGTTCATACCAAAGAAGCCAGTAGCATCACCGTTGACCAAGACAGAGAGCTTTGTGGAGGAAACAAGTCCTTTGATCCACTTGAGGAATCGAATGAAGCCCTACACACTTCAAGGCCCTGAGGATGCTGTCCCAGGAGATGGAATCAAAGGTCTTCTCAATATCGAGCTTAATGACAATGCCCGACACTCCACTACGACGTCGACTATCAATAACTTCATTAGCGATAAGGCATGATTCCCGGATAATTCTGCCTCTCTTTCCAACAAACTGAAAATATGAAATAATGGATGATATGAAGGGCTGAATTATATTGAAAATAATCTTGGAGATGACCTTATTGAGGCTTCCAACAAGGCTTATAGGGCGAAATTCATTAACTGACTCAGCCACTTCCTTCTTAGGAATCAAACAGATAAACGAGTGAGCCACTTATTGTGATAGTGACCCAGAAAGGAAGAAATCTTCCAGAGCTTTAAGCAAGTCAGATTTGATGACGTTCTAGGATTTCTTGAAGAAATCAAGGGTGTACCCATCCGGTCCTGGGGCTTTATTCCCATTGAATTGACAAATGGCACTCCAGACTTCCGCTTCTGAGAACGGTTTAACAAGTGCCTCGCTATCAACCAGATTAATCGAACCTCCAGGTCTTTAATAGCTAGAGAATGGACGGCTGCTCAATTCTTCAGCAAACTTTGAACGAAAATGGTGGGAAAAGAGCACCTTAATCTCACAATCATCATCAATCACACGTCCCTCGCTGCTGATCCTCTTGATCTTATTCCTTCTACTGTTATACTTGGCCCTTTTGTGAAAAAAGCATGTGTTCTTATCTCCAACTTGGAGCCAAATTTCCCGAGACCTTTGCCTCCAAGAGATCTCTTCCATGACCAAAACCTTCTCCAGCTCGCATCTCAACTAGGGCTGGCAATTTGGTCCAGAACTGTTTGGTTTTACCCAAAACCTGACCGTATAACCCAGACTGAGACCAGACTGGGAATGGATAGCAAACAATCCAATCTCATATTCGGGCTTAGATTTGAGGTAAAAAACCCGGATAAAGACCAGATAAGAGACCCCAACACTCAAATACCCACAAGCTCAATCTAAAATCAAAATCAAATTGGGACCGGGCCGGGTCAAGACCGGACCGGATCAAGACCGGAGTGTATCCAATCCAATCTTTGGTCCTTATATTTCCGAAAAGACCGGACTGGGACCAGATCAATTTGGTCCAATTTAACTGGACCGGACCGTATAGCCACCCCTAATCTCAACACTGCCCTTTTCGTCAAGGAAGCCTCAGATATAGCTCCATACTCTTCAATCTCATCAATTGCTCTGATTCTGAGGAGTAAATCTTTGATCTTTTTTTCGATATTCCCAAAATGTGTCTTGTTCCAAATTTTGATGAGAAATTTGGCTTGTCTACATTTTTGGACCAACCTGAACAAATGGCTAGTTCCGGCGACCGCGATGTTCCACCAACCACCAAGCACTAAAGGAAACTCTCCTCAAGTAACCACATGTTCTCGAATCTCCAAGGGTGGCGGAAAGCCTCAGGTGTACCCCCATTGAAGCATAATTGGAGAATGGTCTGATTCTACCTGGTCGAGGTGACAAGGGCGTCAAGAGAGAACAATTCCTCAAAGCTAACATTGACCAGGGCCCTATCAATGCGGGAAAGAGACATCGCACTGCCCCCTTTGCTCCAAGTAAACTTGGAGCCTTATAACGGAAGGTCCAGCAGGTGAAAATTGTTGATGAAGCCATTAAATTCTTCCATGAGATCAGTATCTCTAGGACAACCGATGTAATCGTCATCAGATCGGACGAGGTTGAAGTCTCCAATAATGCACAGGGTCGGAAGGTAGTGACGACAAAAAAAATCCAATTCTCTAAGAAACTCAAGCTTGTCCTCCTTAGCCTGCAGACCATACACCACCAATAGGGAGTTAATTTCTTCAGAATCGGTGATCTTGAGGCGAGCGCCAGTGAGAATTTGCCTTCCCAGACTGTGAGGCCTTTGTAAACATTAGAGTCCCAGTGGACAACAATACCACCACTAGCTCCCGTCGAGTTCTTTGCAAACCAATCAACATCCCTTTTTCCGCTGACGGAGGTGATCAGTCGCTGGTCACACGATTTCCATTTAGTCTAAGTGAGGGCGACGATATTTGGCTTCCATCTCTTCATCAATCTCTTGATTTTTGCTCTTTTGTCACCACTGCCAAGCCCGCGAACTCTCCAAGCTTCCGGGAAACAGGAAGCAGGATTGCCACTCAAGCCATTTCTAACCTTTGAAGAGCCAGGCCTATTCCGACTTCTAGATGTTGAGGGCGTGCACTCATCGACACCTAGTCTGTGAACCTCCATCTCCAGCCTGGATCTAGGTTTCCTCTTCTTCTTAAGGTGAATATCAGCGCAATGGAAGCAATCTTCGCTTCAGCTAGGGACTCCGAATCAGAGTCATGGAGACACAGGAGTTTGCAGAAATTGAGAATTTGGCTGATCAGGTCTTGGAGGTCTTGCTACTCTTGCCAGCAATGAAGGTAATCAAGATTTACGGGATTGAAATGGACAGTATCGAGACAAGGTTGACTAGGGGAGGGATTGGGGGAGGCGAGGGGGGAGAGCGGCTCACTGAAGTTGGGGATTGGAGAATCAAGGGAGAGAGGCGAGGTTACAGGAATTGGGGTTGTTAAGGAAAGAGAGCTCTGATGGAGGAAGGGATGGGAGTGGAAAATGTTGAAGGGGTGGGGGAGGTTAATCGGATTTGGGATGGATAGGGGAGAGAGGGAAAGAAAAGAGTCCAGGAAGAGAAAGCGCTAAGGTCTCAAGAGGGGGCTAGGGGTAGGATTAGTAGGTGGGCTTAGATCCGAAGGCCCAGCAGGGAAAGGTCTCGGAAGTGGCCCGAACTTTTGGACCCAATGCTTGCTGACGAGAGCAGAGCTATTTTCCAAGGCACGGATGTTCTTTTGCGGTTGCAAAAGAGAAGAGAGAGAATCCCGCCTCATTCTAAGGGAACTAGGAGTTGCGATCGCTTTTGCTGAGGAAAGCGAGGAAAATCCAACGTTCTTGTCCCGACGACTCTTCAGAACCCCACCACAGCTTCCAAGGACTTGATCCATTAATCGATGTTTGTTCAAATCCGTCGTCGGCCGGTCGGCTTCCAATGAGACAATAACTTTTGCCAAGAAAACAGTGTGCCAAATCGGATCGGAATTATGTCAGGTATGTCACTCCGAGGTTGGATTTTGATAAAGATGCACGGGTTAGACCAATCTCCCTTATCAAAGTCGTAGAAATCTCCAAAAAAAATTTCCCGACGCTTTTGATGACTGCTTCAGATCGGAGGAAAGGAGGAATTCCAAAGACCATAATCCAGGACAGTCCATTCGGTGGATTAAGACTCCGACTAGCTTCTTCCTTCCAAAATCGAAACAGGACGTTCCAATCCCGGAACTTTGCATGACCAGCCTTCTGAACTCTAATAGCTTCCGATAACGAAGGGAAAACAAGATGCCACAGGTCACCATGCCTCTTGGAAAAGTAAGCTTCCTTAGGCAGCTACCAATTATGCCTCGCCCAATCTTCAAACTCTTTGCTGAACGCAAAAGGGAGGCCTCTGTTCCGATTGTCAAAGAATTCGACCGTCAGGCATCTGTCTAGGAAGGAAAGTCTATCCTGAACACCATCTTCATCCACTTCCAAGAAGAACGAGGCATTCTGGCTTTTAATGGCACATGATCCAGTCGAAGAGAGAAACTCTTGACAGACGACATCGGCAAAGGACTTCCCATGGGTAACCCAAGCATCACGGAGAATGATGACGCTTGACGACTTTTCGATCCTTGTCTTGCGGAAGCCCGAAATAAGGCCATCCCATTTTGCTGGATCAAAGGGGAAGAAGATGAAGTACTTTCTCCCACTTTCCAGGAGTTCCGATAATTTTAGAAAAGAGCCCTCTTTGGTAGCGAATATGCCAATCTGAATAGTGTGAGTAGAAGTTTTTCTGCGGTGTTTCGGATCAAGAAACCACCCTTTCCGCACTATCTCCTGCAGAACACTGCACAACCAGTGGACTTGGACAAGGTCAAGAAAAACAGATCTCTTTCTGCGGCCGTCACTCTCAGACGAAATCTTCAAAAAGTTCTTCTTTGTCGTTACGTATTCTTCAATGCTAACAATAGTATTGTTAATGGCTGTCCTGGAGCACGCAGAATTGATTTTTAATTCTCGGTATTTCTCGGTATTTTGGTATATACCTATCCCAATCTCGTAATCCTGAATACCGAATAGCACTCCAAAATAAATCTCAATCTCTAAAAAATAATCTGGTATTCAGTAATACCAAATAGTGATAAATTCGATACAGTATTCGGTTATCCCAAATATCGATATCAAACTTTCAGTCCTACCCGACATATCTTTAAATTGAAACAACACACAAATTAATCCAAAAAAAAAATCGCTTTCTACAAACAAGGAAAGAACTTCATCTCAACATTCAATACACACACCATACATATAGATTTCTTGCCCTAATTCTTCAAATTACACCAAAAAGTCTCTTCTCCAAAGAGAGAGCACAGAGAAGACAGTGGAAGAAAAGAGAAGTGACGCAAATACCCAAAAATAGGTTATTTTAATAAGTTATAACAATCACGTACTAAAACACGATATCAACTATAACAATCGACCAAATCCACCTAATTAGAAAATTACAAAAGATTTCTTTACATAACTTTAAAAAGAAACAAAACACAAGTCGATCAACAGACCAAAACAATCAAAATTCCCTTTTTGCAAAAAATTAAACAACTTCATCCCAACATTCAATACACACACCATATGTACAGATTTCATGCCCTAATTCATCAAATTACAAAAACAACAGAAACCCCTTCTCCAAACCCCTCCCTCTAGAGCTATATATGAACTCCAAAAACATACAAATGACCACACAATCCCATCATCAAAAATATCATTTACACAACTAATTTATATCCCCATGGCGCCCAAAGCAACTTCCTTGGTGTTCATCCTGGCCCTGGCCGTCACGCTATCCACAATCGCCGAGTCCCGGAACCTGAAGCCGGCTGAACAGACGCCGGAGGAGTGCTCTGCTGCCATATTCAAGTTCCCTTCGTGCTTGTTCGAGATCATCGGAGCAGCCCAAGGCGGCACCGGCGGGTCGGTACAGATCTCGGCTCCTTGCTGCAGTGCCTTCACTTCTCTCACTCAGGACTGTCAGTTTCAGTTCAGCGGCAACCTCCTGCCGGTCATTCAGAAGTCCTGTGGCGCTGCTGTCGGTGGGCCGACTGGTGGAGTGCCGCCGAGCCCGCCGGCGCCTCCGGCTGAGCTGGGTCCTGCTGCTGCTCCGGTTTGAGTGGGTGTTGGACTTTATGTTGAGACATATGTGATATGTTGTGATTCCAAGTTCGGTGCAGCGGAAATAAAAAAATACGTTTTGGTTACTGTTTATTGAGATTCAATGGAATGATTTGTTTAACGAGTGTTGAAGTTTTAAGCATCCAATTTGCTGCAAAAAGCCATTCTAAGAAAGCTGTGTAATAATTTCGTAGTCTTGTGACAATCTAATGATAATGAGGTGGAATGATCTAAGTTTTTTTGGTTGAGATTGGTTTGAAGGGGAGGTGTTAAAATTCGGAAAAAATCCAAAACTACCACTGTTAAAAAAAAATTACAAAAATATCACCCACTCCAAATAATTTTCAAAAATACCATCGTTTATAGAATATCGCGCCTCTAATAAGCGGTTTTTAATGAAACCGCGCCTCCAGGCAGCGTTTTACAATATAACCGCGCCTCCAAGAGGCGTTTTTAATTTCCAGAAAAAACCGTTTCTGGAAGGCGCGGTTATAGGCTAACCCTACCACAAAACGCTTCAAGAGGGAGCGTTTAAATGTCGGCATTACAAACCGCCTCACCAAGCGGCGGTTTACAATGTCAGGACATAAACCGCTGCCCCAAGGCGCGGTTTGTGCCTGGTCACCCGTTAGCAAACATGTCGGACATGTCGGCATGCAGGGGGTAGGGCTGCATGGTAGACCTAAAACTGTTCCCCACCCAGCGGTTTTGCTGCAAAATTTGCCTATAAAAGGCTGTTTCAGAGAACTCAATTCTTCACACTCCTCCTCTTCCTTCTTAAAATTTCAGCTTTGCACCTTTAAATTATTTAGTTTTTGCGATTAACGTTAATTCGTAAGTTTGTTTCGTAATTACTTTTCATTGTCCTTTGTGATTTTATGTTAGTAACTTAATTACTTGTCATTGTCCTTTGTGATTTTATGTTAGTAACTTAATTACTTTTCATTGTCCTTTGTGATTTTATGTTAGTAACTTAATTACTTTTCATTGTCATTTGTGATTTTATGTTAGTAACTTAATTACTTTTCATTGTCCTTTGTGATTTATGTTAGTAACTTGTATTACTTTTCATTGCAGATGGCATTCCAAAGGTTCACGCTTGGGTTGCGGTGGAATGGTTACACGGAAGAGACCGAAAAGGGTGTAAGGTACGTCGGTGGCAATTTTTATAAAGTGAAGGTCCGTACGAGACCGATGCTTGAAGAGCTCCATCAAATGTGCACTCAGATTACCTGCATGGATGACACTAGAAGAGTTGATCGAATGGTGTATCGATATCCAAACAGACATGACGGGTCGGTGTGGAATGAGGAATTCCTCCTTACCACTCAGGAGGACGTTGATGCCATGGTCCATTTTTTGACCACCAATAAAATTAAGCAAACGGAGATGTTCATTTACACCGAGGCCGTCGAAGGCAGTGTAGGTCATTCTGGAGATGGCCAAACATCTGGTATCCACGGTGGGAGTGTATTATACAAAGATCATCCCCACCAGGATTTCCAAGACTCGAGCTGGAGGCAAGAGTATCATCATGTAACTGGAGGAAGTCATCAATCCTTCCCTTCATATGAAGAAGAAGCTCAATAGGTGGATTACAACCAACAAGCAGGCTACCAATACCCACCCGAGTACAACTTCTATCAAAGCGGTGTTAGTTACCACAACTACCATTACGGAGCTAGTGAAGGTGCCTTTCATGCTGATAATTAGATGGAAGAAGAGGTCAATCCAAGTCCAGTTAGTGACCCTGAGGTTGAAGAAGAGGAAGGCGAAGTTAGTGCAGATAGCTTCGATCCGCTGGAAGGTGCTGATGATTCCGGTTCAGATTCAGACGCAGATGGTGATGAGGTACCTCACGACCGTGTACCTATTCCATACTACAATCACATTCAAAATGAAGATTGGTATGTTGATGCAGACATGGACCCGCTAGATGTGCCAGTATGGGGTCCACTAACTGGCTTTACGAAGGGCCAACAATTTGCAACGAAGAATGAGGTCCGACGCTATTTCCACTGAAGCAATGACTCGGAATTTTGAATGGAAAACAACCCATTCCGACACAAAGGGCAAGATGACGTCGTTCCATTCAAGCACATTCGTTGTGCCCCTATAGCGGACTATATGGTATGCATCCTAGAGAAGAATTTAAATTTCACTATAAGTTGATGATTTATACATATATAAATATATTATAAGATGCAATTTATATATAAATCAAGGTTGTTTTAGAGAAATATACATTATCTAATAAACATTAATTTTAACATATTAAAATAATTTTCTAAGATGCAATATTAATTAAATCAAGCGGTTTTATAGAAATATACATTATCTAATTAAATATTAATTTTAACATAACTAAATAATATTATAAAATGCAATATTAAATAAATCAAGGTTGTTTTAGAGAAATATACATTATCTAATAAATATTAATATTAACATGACTAAATAATATTAAAAGATGCAATATTAATTAAATCAAGGTTGTTTTAGAGAAATATACATTATCTAATAAACATTAATATTAACATAACTAAAATAATATTCGAAATTTAAGTATAATTATTTTTTGTACACATACACATAAAATCAAATATATTATTTTGTTAATCGTATTGATTATTTTCAATAATTTAAAGCAATACAAGTACACTCGTAAGACTCTTAGGAGAGGTATACATCTCCTTAGAAACACAGTCTTTTTGACATAAAAAGGGGGGATCCGAGGATCGCTTAGAACCCGATTTTCCCAGGTCATGGGGGGATCATGATGATCGCTTAAGTCCCCATTTCCTTAGACATGCATTTCTTTATAAAGATTCTAAATAAGTGTTGTATTGTATTGATTTAAATTATTAAAAATAATCAATACGATTAACAATTAAGTAAATTATTATACAAACAAATAAATTACTTTAACAAAATACAAATTACAAGTGATGATAAATAATATGTACCTTGTGGTCGTTCCAAACGTCTCTTGAACGATGATTTGCTTGATCGTATAAAACTGTCGATTCAATCGGTCCTTGATCAACATAATATCGTTGATTGAAAATATCAACATCCGGCCCAACCTACGATAGCATAACAATAACATAAATCATTAGTATATAAATTAAATAAATCATTATAACAACAACAACAATTGGGAAAAATGAGTAAGTACCATTTGATAATCATCATAAAAAAGGCCCTCTTCTTGAGCGAAATCGGCCATTCTCTCGGAATCCGGACAGAGGTTCGACGGTTTTTTAGTGAAAACCAAAGAAAAAGTTTTTTGGAGGCAGATCGGACTTAGCCGCAACCAACAAAATAACTAATTCTAAGGTTTTTTGGTGGGGAGGGGGGTGGGTAGAGTGAGAAGTTAGAGGGAGAGAGGGGGGAATGAGTTTGGTGTGCAGAAAAATGAAGGGGGAGGGGGGGTTATATAGGGTCGAAACCGCGTGGGGGAGGGCCGGTTTCGTCCTTTTACCCACCGAAAATCGCGCCTCCAGCACGCGGTTTGCGTGGGCGACGCAGATCGCTGAGCTTGGGCGCGTTTTGGCCATCAGATCGCTCCCCCATCACGCGGTTTGATGCACCGCCACGTGGCCACGCGTTTTGACAGCCATGCAAGGTCAAACCGTGTCTTGGAGGCGCGTTTTGTGCTATAACCGTTGCCTGGAGGCGCGGTTTTATATAAACGATGGTATTTTTGGAAATTATTTGGAGTGGGTGGTATTTTTGTAATTTTTTTAAACAGTGGTAGTTTTGGATTTTTTCCTTAAAATTCGAAACGAATTTGGCATATGGATCCGGTGTTTGAGAAATTTGGAAGTTGTGATTCCTAAGAGGGGTTAATGTCAGAAAATCTTAATGAACAGTTAATTAGGGAAGCGTAAAAAAGGAACTGATCAGGTCAGTAACCTTATGGTGAGTAATCATGAGTAACTCGTCCACATCAGACTGACATTAGCATCCCTCTCTCTCCTGCAAAGCCTTTAATTTTCCCCTTCTTAATCTTTGACGACCGATTTCTCACTCGTTTTAAGTCGAAATTTAATTTTTTTTGAACAGCTAGATTAGATTAATAATGCTCTTCAAAGTGATATCCACGTTGATATATTTTGTGAACAAAAAAATTGATCCATTTTTTACCATTATATACCATATGGTATTGATTGGTATTGAAATAAGAGCATACCTATGGTTTGAAAAGCGTACCATGGTGGTATGAATAAACCAAGACTGTAGGATGGTTGAATACATGATAGTAGAAGTATATTAACTGTCATTTACGACTTTTAACATTGTGTACCACAAGTTACCACCTCGTACCAGGGTGGTATTGTGTGGTATTTTTTGGTCCTGTAATTTGTTCAACCAGAAATTTGTAGATCCAATAGATCATGATAGTAGAACAAACCAAGACTATAGGATGGTGGTATGAACAAACCAAGACTGTAGGATGGTTGAATACATGATAGTAGAAGTATATTAACTGTCATTTATGACTTTTAACATTGTGTACCACAAGTGACCACCAGTGGCGGATTCAGGGCTGGGCCAACCCAGGCCCTGGCCCAGCCTTCCTCCGGATCCAGAGTTAGTTTAGTGGTTATAAAAATTTTTGATTTAGATATTTGGCACTGTGCTATTTAAAATTCTGTCTAGTTTTATTTGATAATAGGATTTTGTGTAACTAGGAAAATGGTTCAGATGAACATATCCAAACCATTACTCTAAATTTATACTAAATTTTCTATAGCCTCAATGATTTTATTTGAAAAATGACATGAAAACCTAAAAGTGTAAAGTTTCATTAAAACAAAATAAAAAAACTCTAAACTAAAGCACACTCTTCCTTTCAAAATTCAAAAAATTTCCCAATCCCCCCAAAACAAAACAAGAATGAGGAGACGAGCAGACCCAAAATAGATTTCTCTGCCAGCCCGTCGAGCTGGTTTTCTTTCCATTCTTTTGATTAAGAAAATATTTACAAACTTGCTGAGTCATCATTTAGATTGCCTCAATTGAGTGGGGCACTAGATTCTAACCGTTCTTTCTGGTGTTTTGATGAAAGAAAATATTTACAAACTTGCTCAAGAGTTTAGCCTCGAAACTTTGAAGGCTATGAGATGCATTCTTTGGAGAATGCACTCTCATGTGAGGAAGATTAAGTTTCTTCTCTTGCAAA